CTGTCAAGACACAATGGCACAAATTAGACAGGTCACTACAAGTCGTTGTGAGGTACTATTGCGGACACTGTTGATCACGTGATTGTGTCCATTCCTAAAGAGGTATCGATGCCTCCCTCTACTACGGTGTTATAACGTCCCATATTTAACGCCATATCACCAGTCTTTAATGTTCACGGAAACATGCATGAGAAATTTTGTGCCGTGATTTCGTCCACCCCTTTAAACCTGAACTATTGCTAAAGCGACAAAAATCATATAAGTTTTAAATGTGGTTTTAGGCTAAGAAGGCGTTTAAAATAACCACTTGAAACACGATTGCCATTCGTCATTGAGGAGATCACACATCACAGACCTATTAAATCTTATTAATGTTACATACCAGCTCAATAAATAGCATATAGAAGGGAGAGGAAACTGAACCAGGCATAAGGTTTGCGGTTGGAATAGGAAGAGGATGGGTGGCCGCAATAACAAAACGGAAAAGCAAGCTCTCACACAATCCAACTCTATGATTTTTTACATGAATTCCTTCAATGCATCCGATCGTATAATTCCATCCTCACCGCCACCGCCTCCTTCACAGTCATCCGAATTCGTGGAAGAGGGAGAAGATGAGGAAGAACTAATTTCTGATCCAAAGAGACTGGCTTCTAGGTAGCCCGCAGCTCCAATAACAGACTTTTTCTTCTTTTTCTTTTTTCTACTCTTCTTCCGTTTTGTCCTTTCACCAGCCTCTTCCTCGTCTTCACTACCCTCAACACCCTGTCCAACTCGATGATGAATATCAAAACGCATCTCCTGGCGTGCTGTCTCAGGACGCAGAAGCTCTCTGGCGCGTTCAGCATCCACGTAATCGTAGCCCTCCGGACAGGTATTGAATTCACGCAGATCAGTGAGTTCATCAGGCAGTCGAGATGATGGATCCGTAGATAGACGGCGGTTGCGCTTATGGTGATGGTGATGCGATTGCTGACGAAGAAAACTCCATTAACATACAGTTTTATCAAATGTAATCATTAAACAACATTATTCAGGAGGTCTGATGAAGAAAGCTAAACTACTAAAATGACTGCTACATCAACGTCAACTCAAAGACACAAAAATGCATCTTACATTATCGTCTATCTAAACCCCGACAGAGTGGAGTCGCAAACGACCATAAAAATAATGGAAGACACAGCCCTGTGAGAATGCCCAAGAGTAGTTTACTTTGGAAAAGAAGTGTTCAACAAAAATTCACCTGTCGGAGAATGCTATCTGGAGAATGAATTTCTAAGACAGTTCAAAACAGAGATGTGACAGGTAAATAGCGAAAGATGTGGAAGCTCCAGAAACATCAACAGAGTACTTTTGAGGCAAAAAATCTCAAGAACCACCGAAGATTACAACGACTTGAAAACTGAGACCACGCACGAGAGTAATATCCATATTATGTATAGGCAATAGCACGAGCCTTGACAGAATTCTTCCCCTAGAGAAACCCTAGTTCCAGCAGGATGCCCTCCAGTCCGTCGCCAAACTTAAAATGAAGTCACTTTCAAACAATAGCTTAAGCGCTACAACGCGTACTGAACGTGCCTGACGAACACGATCCATTTCCACAGGGAAACGCCTTCCGACAGACCCACTTTGACTGATTTCCCACAATCGCCGTTCGACTTTTGCGAGAGCCCTTCGGTTGGCACCACTACGACGCAGAAGAAGTTGTTGTCGAATCTAAAATGATAAGCACGGAAGCGAAACCAGATGATGGAAATATACTTGCACCTAAATGGACAGATATAAGATGGCTGTATAGGCAAAGAATTCCAACGTACCCTCAACCATCGTTCCTCCTGTTCAAGATCTCTTCGGGCAGCTGAACGGTCTTCGGCTTGAGAGTCGTCATCATCTTCATCATCGTTTTCTTCCAACTCCTCCTCTTCTTCTTCAGGACCTTGTTTATCCCGTCTATTAGGATACGAAGAGTTGGATGACGAGGAGGAGGAAGATGAAACATCATCTTCCATCTCACGTGGAACTGAGGCGGCTCTTTCTTCCCTTTCCTCCATTACAGCCTCTTCCACCTCATCCAACATTTGACTGGCTGCCTAAGGGATCAACGTGAAAAGTAAACGCAATAAGAACCTGGATTTGACTATTCACCTTCCGTCGGATTTTTGCAGAAAAAATTGCTGCAAAGAAACTGTCGTAGTAATAAAGCGAACCGCTTATAGTTCCCTTCCTTCAAACATGAGCTAGGATACATTTAACCATTTCCAACTTGAAACTTTACTGAGACTGAGTCGACGCTGGCCTGCCAGCAGATCTGATCTTCAATAATCGAGAATCAGATAAAAGGTGGAATGCAAATGTTTCCGATTTCTCCGACCTCCATCCCACCAAGAGTAGAATCTACATTGCCCAACACGCTGGTGTTTCCAGTAGAATTCCATTCAATGAAGATGGTCAGCTGACCGTCTAGGTGCTTGGTGAAGTATCTACTGGTTTATATTTTAAGTAAAATAGTAGTGAATGGGTCGACATTTATAAAATAAAAGCAATGCAATCTACCTCATTAAATTTAAGATGAGTTAGGGCTTCTTAGGTGCCGAAGCGAGTAATTGTCCAATAACAATATCTGCACAAAGTCAAGGAAAGTTTAAATGATGGTGAGAACACTTTTAGGCTTCGCTAGCCTTAACAAGATTGCCATTCCCTTCAAAAGTCTATCAGACAAACACACTCACTGAAATTACACATTCCGAGCGCCTGCAGCCGAGGTTACTGAACACCCACTAGCCCCATCTTGCGATGCCGACCCGGAAATTGTAAAGCTCACCTAACTTCACGCGACATAAAATTACAGGATTTGGAGCCCACCCTCAGGTGATCAGATGCTTTGTACAATTTTCTGTTGAGGTCACTGCAATAGTACCTCACAACGACTTGTAGTGACCTGTCTAATTTGTGCCATTGTGTCTTGACAGTGATGTAACACAGTGCGTTTTGCTACTGGAAATTGAAGAAATTCAAATTGAAGGGAGTGCAAGCAACAAAATGTCCTATTTACAGATGCATCTATCGAAACGGAAGGTCGGTGACATCCATATTCGCCTACCACTGCTACTACAGCAATGGCAATAACAACTGGGGAGAGGAGGGGGGTTGGAAGTGGACTTCGAACACCATCCACTTGTTCCTCGCATTGCAGTGCAAGACGTGGCACTGCAAGAGCTGGACCTATTTAACTGATTGACTGACCCATGACGAGGGACAGCCCTAATGCTTTAGACTTTGACAAACAAATGTATCATTGGTTATCTCCAAACCATCCAATCACCACTCTGTCCACACTTCCAAGACACACATCAGGCTGAAGATGCAAGACCGTGGCTAATATATGTGTGAGTATGCCCGTTTACGTTTGTGTGCGTACTTGTGTATCTGATGCGGGCCAGGACGGCTCAACCCCGCGCCACAATTGAGAGGGATTGTGGACTGAACCGTCTTCTGCATCCACTTAGCCCTATCACCACTGTCGCGTCACTTTAATATGCCACTCTTCTACCTCATCTTCATCACTTGTAATCGAGGAATCCACTTTTTGGTACCGTTTAACTTTCCATTCCTTCTGAATAGGCGCTTTGTTGTGCATCTACAGCACCACGTAGCATAGTAATGTGATCAGTGATGCAAGAAAATGCACCTTGCCAGCCGATTTAAGAGCATGAGATTAAATACTAACCAAGGTGGTAGTTGGTAGGGCAACCGAGGTGGCCAAGGAAATGGGCTGGATGTACTGCAAACCCCACGCTGTCTTGAACATCTGCCTTACTGGTCCAAACATTCGGACGAATATGTTTATGCCGCAGCTCAATGGACACCATCCAAGTCGGTTTGCCAAGCTTTTGGACTACCGTGAAGGCGACTCAACTGCACCTCCGCACTGCCTCACAAGTGGACCACTCAGGGCACATGAACACAGGTGAACGCACAGTCAACGCACCGCGCATGCCGTGAGTCGCATTTGCATACGAGATGTGTGCTGAGTGTTGTGTGCTCCTGTAAGCAGTCCTGCCTGCCAAGTCATTTGCATGCATGAAGCGTACTTACACTGCAACGCACTGCCTCGTACGCGAGAGAGGTGACGATGTGACAGCAAGGCTCGACGACTGCAGTAACAACGGATGACAATCGCGGTCTCTGCGCTTTGCACTAGAAAGTACACTCGCGTGTTGTGCCTTGCTGTGCTGTGTTGCGTACTTGAGAGCAGACAGATAGCCTCAGTTGTTTGCGGTTTTGAGTGTCTTCACGCCTTATCAGACAGCAGTGGGGTGTTTGGCAATTCTAACCGAGTCTATCGATTGTCAGCCTGACAGTCTGATCTGTAAGACGCAGCGGAACGAGAGTGGTCTAGCTTAGACACGGAACCGTGTGGAAGTGTGTTCCGCCTTTCACAGCTCCGTCATCAGCGTTTTTCGTCTTTATGGACATCGCTGTTTAAGTAATTGTTGGGAAGACTTGGTACAGTAGGGGTCGCTGTTGCAGCTGAGCTATTCTATTTGTTTTCCTCCTCATGAAAATGTTTTTCCTTTGCCATTCGTTAAAGCATGCAACAAGTTGTATTTACATGAGGACCATGAGACGAGGAATCGAAATCGAAAAGCATAGAATGGTGGGAGTAGAGGAGGCTCGGAGTCTCCGCAATGGACATTGGGTATCAGGTACCGTGACTGATAGTCGCTAGTGCTAGTTGGTTGCTTGAAATGTCACAGACTGCTGTCTGCGGCAGACATCCGGAGCATGACTTCCTCGTGAGGGGGGGTGGGTAAGGCACGGACTTTATCTCGCCAATTTGCGTGCGTTGATGCGTGTGCGCGCGTGTAATCTTGCATGAATCACTGTTTGTCTCTCACTGCCATGCAGGGTGATGTTGATGGACGCATTTGTCGCCTACTATTGCAGCAACATTTCAGTTTTGCACCCATTAACCGATGGCTTTGTTTTTGTCTGAACATGGTGGGATTGCCATAGGTTGTCAAAGATGTTCTTCAAGGCAGTTAAAGTCATTGATTAAATTCAAAGTATTTATGAAGACAAACGGAAGGCGCCAAAAATTTCGGATATGAAAATCAATTTATCTGCAAAGCATCTTCACAAAGTAAGGACTTGGATCACATTGACAACTTCACAAAATGACCCAGTTCTTATGTGAGAATTGTTATTGCCTTAGTCCCATTCCACCGCAGCAGCAGGTCGTGCCATTCAACACTTGTACCAGGGACACGTAATTGCCACGCCGGTGGAGGGATAGCGGGCACCTATCGGCGGCAGTGACCACTTTTACGCGTTTGAAAAGCGCAATATTGACAGTATTGGTTGACGTGAGCATTGATATGAATTTTGACTAGTCTCACAGGCAATCAGTAAATTGAGTTCCTCTATTTTGGTGTGCGTATGTAGAATTTCCTCACCAAGACAGTATTCTGGAAGAGGGTAACACTGAGCTGGTTTTATTGACACCTCAGCATACCCTTAGTTTGTGTGTGTGAAATGGCTCAGTAAACACACGCCTATCAAACGGTTGTTAAGTAACTGATTACTTGAGGCAAATTTTATTAGTCTTCAAGAGAGGCAGCAACAATATCAGTTAATTTAATGCGGAGAAAATTTGACTTTTTACCCGAAAAGTTTTCAACTAATTCAGCAGATTTGAGTGTGTGAGATGGGGAAAAATACACCGTTGCTTGGCAAAAAACCTTCTGCTTTGATGACAACTTCACCTATTTCTAGATGACAAGGGGTACACAAAATTTACGCACTTACGATAAGATAAGCTTTGACTCTCTTTTGAATGCGCAATTTTCTATTTCTTTGATCCGAGCATAATGAGTGTGAATGCTTAAGAGACCTTCGGTGTTTGTGACACCGAAAGGAGCTTTCCTGTGGAGAAGGGAAAAGGGGAACCCCAGAGGTCCCACTATTATCTGAAGCCAGTTAGGTGACTGAAAGGTAAAAATCTTTTAACTTTGGAAATGTGAAACAGATGTTTTGCTTCGTTTGCCTAAGAAAGGGAATCAGTGGAGAAGGAACGAATAGAATCCCGTCTTTGGAAATCTGTTGGACTCAATTGGAAATTAACTTAACCTAAGCCTCTCCTAGCTGTGTTCTCCTCCACTTTCCGCATTTGAGCCAGATTATCAAATCAGGTAAATAGACTCTCCAACAGTGATGCAATGCACCACTTGAGTACTTCTTGAGGCATTCTTTATGACAACCCTCTTATCTGTGCTGTGATGGTGATCACTTCAGACGGTTTTGGCAGCCTTCCTTACTGTTTATGCGTTTTAGGGCGACAACACCAATTTCAAGCCCAACATGTAGTTTGATTTAAATAATCATTCTGGTTTACAACCCCCTCCCGCTCACAAGAATCTGTTCAAGGCCCCATTTAGCGCTCTTCATTCACCGTTCTTCAATTATGACCCTGTTTCACCTCTCTCAAGATAAAAACCAAAAGGAGTGCTGACGTTTCGTGCTTCATCACAAACAATTAACTTGGAAAGCACCAAAAATGTATGGCCTATTGCAGAAATTGCGTTAATGTAGGCGAATTCGGCAACAACACTGAAGAGGGTCCCGACATCCATGTAAACAGTACAAGATCTGCCTAGATTTCCACTTATTTAAGAGGTGGAGATGAAACTGCAAATAAATTTGAGAAGCTTTCTACCGCGAAACAAACCACTACACAATCAACAGATGGAAAGATCTAGTAAATACTCAATTATTATTTGATGCGCAAATTACCAGGTATGGTTCCAGAATAATGAATTCCTTGGAATGAAGTAAAATGTAGAGGAAGGGATCTGCAAAAGGCCATAGAAAGGGGCAAAGGCAAGAGGAAATTTGTAAGGAAAGTTTATTTGTTTTGCGAATGCATTTATTAAGATGATGAAGTGTGGGTATGTGAACTGAAAGATGGCTACTGCTTCGTGGGGATTAAAGACACATAAACATGCACGCAAGCAGACAAAGTGGAAATAGAGAGACAGTTCTGACAAGTTTAATAGGTCGAGGATTGCCAAACAAGAAC